AATACACAGTGAATCCTGACAACCAAGGTAGCTTCCAAGTGTACTGTGACATGACAACTGACGGTGGGGGGTGGACTGTGTTTCAACGTCGTAAAGACGGATCGGTCGATTTTTATCTCAATTGGCAGCAATACAAAACAGGTTTTGGAAACCTGAATGGCGAGTTTTGGTTGGGTAACGATTACATCCATCGACTGACAGCAAGAACACCATCAAGTCTTCGCGTGGAAATCGAGCACTGGGATGGAACTCAGATCTACGCCAAATATGGTAGCTTTAGTGTAGGTGATGAGTCAGACAAGTACAGGTTGAGGGTTGGCGGGTATTCGGGTACAGCTGGAGACTCGTTAGCATGGCATAACAACTGGGCTTTTACCACCAAAGATAGAGATAACGATGGTCATAGAGGTAATTGTGCAGTTGAGCGTACCGGTGCGTGGTGGTATTATCACTGTGCAGAATCTAATCTAAATGGAAAGTATTTAGGAAACATAGTTAAGGCGGGTGGCTTAGAGTGGCAAAAATACAAAAGTGACTATCAGTCTTTTAAAGCAAGTGAAATGAAGCTTCGACCACAAAACCATAAATAATTAATTATTAGATCATTGTCATGGAGTGATAGACACTGAATCTTTTACATCCTGCTTGATGTCCAATGCATTGTGGGATTAGTTTCTAGAGAAAAAAGAAATCCGCCATGTTCTATCCCAATCCTGCAATGCATTGTGGATGCGGTATACGTACGTAACGTAAAAGCTTCAGAGATTGACTATTGATATATAACGTGCGCTCTGATGATGTCCTTATGTCAGAGCTCAATAAAAATAAAACTTGCTATAATCTTTTTTTGAATAAGAAATAGAGAAATGTAGAAAAGAAGTTTATCCATATTATCAAATGCAACGTATGTTTATTCGTTATGCAATCGATTTTTTTTTTTATTAATATCATTAAGGTGATTTTGTGACTGATATTTTAGTTTAGGGCAAAGGAAACTCGCGACACTAAAACAAACTGCATAAGACTGATAAGAGCGTAAATGTATTGTATACAAGTAGGGCAATTGGGAAAGAAAGCAAGTTATTTTTCCTTTTTTCATGTAACTTGATGAAACTAGTCAAAATAATTTGTAATAATTAAATATATATGTGATTGAGAGTGATTAAACGTTTTTTAAATTTTCTAAAGATTTTTTGATGTGTAAGCCAGTGTAGTTGCGTTTATGCTTCTTGTTCTTTTTTTCAGTTCTCATTTCATTCATTCTTCCCTTCATTTTTCTATAAAAGAGGAGAGTTGGAGTAAAAGAAAGTGAAAACTGAGAAGAACGTTGTCGTTCGAGAAACAAAAACTAGAAGGGGAGTTTTGATGTTATATATAAATGAGCGGGAGACCTGGATAAAGTATATTTAATGAGGTGGTTTTCGTCATTATATGATATAGCAAATTACAAAACATGTCTTTGATATAAACTCTGTCATCATATTGTTTAAAATTATTAAATATATTTACATTTAAATGGTGAAACTAGTAAAAAAGGACATGAATAATCAATAACACAAAAGATGGTCACTCAAGCTGCATGTGTTTCATTCAAGCTCTTCTTTTTCTTCTTTTTTTTTTTTTTTGGCGCTGCTGTTTTGTTGTTGATGTTATCGAAGTTGTTCATGTTGTTCTGTTTTTGTTGTTTTGTTGTTCATGTCATATTGAAGTTGTTGATTTTATGTTGCTGCTGTTGTTGTTTTTTTGATGTTGTTGTTGATGATGTTAATATTGTTTTGTGGTTGTTTTTAATGTTCTTTTGTTGTTGTTGTTGTTGTTTCGGTTGTTCATTCACAAAAGCATTCACAAAAGCCGCGGCGTATTTGCTAAATATTCCTACTTCCTAGCTATTAGTGCTAGCTTGTGATCATACCATAGTCGAACCAGTGACCCTAAAATATAGAGTTACAATTCTTGTCTATTCCTATCCGTTACGCGCTTAATATCTTAAGTCGTGCAAGCATAATAAGGACGTTCGTTTTCTTTTGGTCTTCAAAAATGATGGAAAAAGTCGCTCCTACGCGTTCTTCATCAGTGTTCACCATCGTGGCTTCACTAGCGATGCTGCTTTTGTGTTTTGGAGAATTTGTGCGCATTGAGAATCGGCTTGATGAATTTGAGAAGTTAACAACCTCAACACAACGTGACAGAAATACCGCAAATATTGACGACAACGATTCTTCAAAATATAATCAAGAATTTGTGAATATGAAGCTAATGCTATATGCTCAAACCTCAATTATAAAGAAATTAAAAAGAGAGGTTATTTTCTTAAAGAGGAACTCGAAACATGTTGACAGTTTCTCAACAAACCGACCGGAAAAGGATCGAGAAACTTACCCGGAAGTGAATCACAAAATATCCAAACGAAACATTGGAGCTGCTAATTCACCAATATTAAACACCACAAAGCAGTCGCTAAAAGAACAACTCACAAAAACCATTCATCAAGAGGTTGGTAAAGCCGTGTCTAAGCTACAATCTGCGAGATACTGGATCCCTATTCCAGGACCTCCCGGTCCACAAGGAGAGAAAGGACAGAAAGGTGATGTAGGGACAAAAGGACCAAGTGGACCAAGAGGAAAGCCTGGAAGAAGAGGAAAACGAGGACCACGTGGTTTGAAAGGTGATCCGGGAGAAAATGGAGCTGCCGGTCCACAAGGCATRCCGGGASCGAAGGGGGATCCTGGTCCTTCCCTAGCACCACCATCAGTAATTATTTCGCCCTCGCATTTGGTTATCAATGAAAGTCAAACGGCCATTTTGCATTGTTCTGCNCAGTTGGACAGATGACACTTTTGAGATCGAGAAAAGAGGATTCTGGGATATATTTGTGTAAAGCTGAAAATCTTCTTGGATCAGTTATGAAAGGAACAATTCTTATTGTTGTTGGGCTGCCAAGATTCACTATAAAACCACCTACATCACTCGTCACCTTTCCTGGAAAAACTATTCGCCTAAATTGTAGTGCTACAGGAGAGCCTAAACCAGTCATAACATGGAGAAGAGAAAATGGTGTTCTTCCTATTGGCAGGCATGAAGTAAGAGATGGCTCTTTGATCCTCAAAGATTCAAAAACAACAGATTCGGGTGTGTTCGTTTGTACTGCAACAAGCGCTGGTATTTCCCACAAAGAATCAAAATCAACTATCAAGGTTTACTTTAGAGATTGTTCGGAAATCTTCCAATCAGGAGAGAGACGTAATGGCGAATACACAGTGAATCCTGACAACCAACGTAGCTTCCAAGTGTACTGTGACATGACAACTGACGGTGGGGGGTGGACTGTGTTCCAGCGTCGTAAAGACGGATCGGTCGATTTTTATCTCAATTGGCAGCAATACAAAACAGGTTTTGGAAACCTGAATGGCGAGTTTTGGTTGGGTAACGATTACATCCATCGACTGACAGAGAGAATAGCATCAAGTCTTCGCGTAGAAATCGGGGACTGGGACGGATCTCGGAAGTATGCCAAATATGGCAGTTTTAGTGTAGGTGATGAATCAGACAAGTACAGGTTGAGTGTTGGCGGGTATTCGGGTACAGCTGGAGACTCAATGGCATATAGTAACAACTGGGCTTTTACCACCAAAGATAGAGATAACGATGTTACTGGCGGTAATTGTGCAGTTCTGTACACCGGTGCGTGGTGGTATGGAGCCTGTGCAAACTCTAATCTTAATGGAAAGTATTTAGGAAACGTAGTTAAGCGGGGTGGCTTATATTGGTACCATTACAAAAATAATGCTCAGTCTTTCAAAACAAGTGAAATGAAGTTTCGACCTCAAAACCATAAATAAGTAGATCATTGTCATGGAATGATAGACTCTGCTGTGTTTCCAGCTACGTCACTGCTGGGTTTTCAATGCATTGTGGGATCAGTTTCTAGAGAAAACAAAAAAAAAAATCCACTATGTTACGTTGTAACCCAATCCTGCAATGCATTCTTTATATGGTATACGTACGTAACGTAAAGGCTTCAGAGATCTATTGATATATAGCATGTGATCTGATGATGTCCGTATGTCAGAGCTCAAAAATAAAACTTGCATGTTTTTTTGTTTTTTTCAATAAGAAATAGAGCAATATAGAAAATATGTTTATCCACATCATCAAATGCAACGTATGTCTTTTCGTTATGCAATAGATTTATTTGTATTAATATTATTATTTTGAAGGTGATTTTCTGACTGATATTATAGTGTAGAACACAGGAGATCCGCGACATTAAAACCAACTGCATGAGGGTGTAAAATGTGATTAAATACAATATTTAAGCAAAGTTAAACCAACACCAGCCACTTATCGCTAGGTTATGCGTAACGCGGCTTACGCGCCTGCTGTGCTGTCACACAACGATTTACGCATCACGTGTGATACGCTAACTTCACGCAAAGTTTTCTTAGTACGTCATCTGAAAATTTGGGTTGTGCTGTGCTCTTCTCACCTCCCAACTAAGCACCAACGCCAAGCTCATCTACTGGTGATGAGTTTCCATGTGTAGTAAACAGGTTGGGAAATTGGGGAAGAAAGCAAGTTACTTTTCATTTTTTTCATGTAACTTGATGAAACAGTCTAAATAATTTATAATAATTCAATATATATGTGATTGAAAGTGATTAAAGTTTTTTAAAGTTTTAAATTTTCTAAAGATTTTTTGATGTGTAAGTCAGTGTAGTTGCGTTTATGCTTCTTGTTCTTTTTTTTAATTCTC